AGATCAACCGACCTTTCCCCGATCAGTGATTGCTATTGCTTTTCTTTTTTGACCACCACCAGCTGATCAGTCTTTCTTTTCATTCCGGCTGGTGGGGCCGACTGTTCTTCCTGGACATCGTCGAGGTCAATCATTTGCTTGCACCGGCCGGATGCTGCGGCCACAAGCTTGACGTCCGAGAGATAACACTCTCGAGCCGTCTTTTGGTCCCCATTAAGGGAACCAACTATTCCATCATCCTTCTCATACTTGAGTAGCATGAGAGCAGGGATGATGACGGCCTTACACTCATTAAGAGTGGGTCGGCCAAAGATGAGGTTGTAAGCTGTGAGCTCTTCAACAACTAGGAAACGGATGGTCATGTGCCGACCGTCTCCCCTGCTTCCCAGGTGGACAGGTAGGTCAATTCGTCCGACTGGGTGCACAAGTCCTCCCCCAAACCCAACTAAGGTGTGGGTGACCTCCATCATGCTATCTGGTTTGTACTTGAGATTGGACAAGCATTTGAGGCTGATGAGGTCAGAGTAACTTCCTGTGTCAATCTGAATTCGGCCAACCAGCTGGTTGGCGACTTTACACTCAATGACAACAGGGTCATCATGCGGCCGACGGACTTTGCCTCTGTCCTTTTCGGTGATGACAACTTTAGGGAAGGTGGATGTGCTAGCTGTATCCCCCTCCTCAACAGAATTGACCATCTTTCTTAGATGGTCCTTGGTACCCCGAATGGTCGGGCCACCACCGGAAAATCCGCCTGCTATGGTGTACACCGGTTCTTCATCAGTTTCGGCACTCACAGCAGGCTGGGGAGTCTTTTTCTTGGACTGCCCCGGATTTTCTTTTGAAGTCACTTTGGACTTCACATAGGACTTCAGTTGTCCTTTGTCGGCTAGATGGTCGAGCTCCCGCTTGAGACTAAAGCAGTCGTTCGTGTCATGGCCAACATCCTCATGGAAATGGCAATGCTTGTTCTTGTTCCGATTTTCAGCGGAACCTTTCATAGTAGTCGGCTTTTCAAGAGTTAGCCGATCCTTAATTTTCGTACCTTGGGACGTACGGTTTCCACTCTTTTTTCTTCTTCTGGGCCGGTTGATCAGAGTTATCAATGGCCCAGACTTGCTTTTTCTTTTTGCTCTCTTCTGGCTTAGGAGCCGGCTGAGCAGGCCGACTCTCTTTCTGCCGGTCGGACTTCTTATGTTCCGACTACTTATTGGAGGAGCAGAGTTCGGTCGCCTGTATGTAGGCTTCCGCCTCTCGCAAGGCTCCTTGTAGGGTAAAGATTTGTTTGCGGACGAGTTCGTACTTAAAAGTAGACCCGTCCTTCAGACCCTTAAAGAAGTCTGTGAAGGCGACCTCATCAGACAGCCCATGAATCTTGATTCGGACCAGATTGAACCGCTTGACGTAGGATCGCAAACCTTCTCTATCTCCCTGCTGTACATTTCCCAAGTCAAGACTTGTCTTTTTGGCAGGGATGTTCATAAAGAAGTTTGATGCAAACAAGAACGCAAGCGTCTTGAAGCTATTTATGCAGCCAGCCGGCAGGTTGCCAAACCACTGCTGGGCTATGCCCTTCAGGGTGGCTGGAAAGCGACGACACCATGCGGCATCATCCAACCCCTGTAAATACATGAGGTGGGTGTATGCCAACAAGTGGTCCTCTAGGTTGGAGGTCCCGTCATAGGCTCCAACCAGAACGTTTTTAACTTTAGCTGGCTGCACGGCTTCAGTTATTTCTCTAGAGAAAGCAGAGGGTTGATCTCCAAGGTGTTGCAGCCTAAGCTGCCAGTCCATCGGCTGATAGCCGTATCCCGCATGTCCTTCATAGAGGGTAGGTTGCATGTAAGGTACAACTGGCGCCTGGTACAATGGCTGTGCCATGTACTGGGCGGACTGAATCACATGAGGCCTAGACTGAACCCTTTGGCTGCTTGCTGGGGTCTCATGTACAGACTGGGAACACCTCACAGAGGTATTCCGAAAGCTATCATGATAAGTCGACGTTGAAGCCGACTCTGATTGTTGGGTTCTCCTCTCCTCAATGTATTGCCGAGTGTCAGAGAACGTTTTCTTACTACCATCCGGCTGTATGTGCCGGATGGGTTTTCTTGCACTCGTTTCTTGGAAACGGAGCCGATTAAGGTCAAATTGGGGCCTGGCCTTCTCCTTAGGAGTAGGATGAGGAGTCGGCTGACGGTCCCTGACCGACTTCTGTTTGCCAGCTTGGGCTGGCTTCTTGGCCGACTGCTCCTTTCTTGGAGTAGGCGACTTCTTTGAGGCGAGTTGCTTGTTTCACCCCTGAGGCTGCTCAGGAGTGACATTAGCTCATCCCGAGTGACGGGAGTTGATCCTGCCGCCTGGGAAGAATCAACCGGCCGCCCCGAGGGCTTCTTTGGCTGACCAGCAGTTTTGCTTGGTCCTGCCTGAACATGGGGACGCTCTCGCCGTTCCTTACTGCGGATGCGTTTAGAGATGAGGGATCCATTTGGATCCACATAGGTTTCGACATCAGCGTCGTCACCTGAGTCATGGTCCGTTTGGACCAGTACATCATTTGGAGGCCGAATGGCCTCCGGATTTGGTACATGTTCTTGTGAAGCCATTTCAGAGGTACTCTCCCCACAGACGGCGCCAAATGTTTCGGGGTTTTTGTCCCTCGGGAGAGTTACAACACTGAAACTGGATTAAACTGAGGACGCCTGTACCTGCAAAGCAAACGGACCTCTGGATGGTTGGGGGTCCACCTCCGAAGATTAAGTCAGCAAACGTTCGGAAATAAAACGTGCGGAAGTAAAGTTATCTGCTTGGATTCCAAGCTCAGGTAAAGTGAGATGAGTGACGTATTGTCTCGTATTGCGTGTGAAAAATTATCTCTCTGTCATAAATGACATAATGTCCCTATTTATAAGGTCCTTTTGAAAAGTGTGCCTTCCTAGGATCTGGTGACCTAGAAATTAGGTCACGCCGTTTTGCGGCCCCTCGAGATTTGGGCCTTAGAAGGCCGCCATCCTAAGGCCAATGCCTGAGTGACACGTGTCACTGTGCCCAAAGGATTTTGACGCACTTTTTGTGTGACACGTGTCGCCACCTGAATGGTCCCTGCTGGACCTTCAGTCCACGTAGGACGGAGAAGAGTCCACCCTCCACGTGTCATCATTCCATAGGTCCAAATAGCACCTATACGGAGGACACGTGGCACTTTCTAATTGGGCCACCTGGCCGGGTATAAAATACCCAAATCACGTGAGACACATCATTGCCAATCCAAGGGGCTCAACTGCTCTAAGGAGCGTCAGACACATCATTGCCCATCCAAGGGGCTCAACAGCCCTAAGGGGAGTGAGTCGCATCATAGCCCATCAAAGGGGCTCCTTAGCCCTTAGGGGCGTCAAACATAACAATAAATACAAGTATACATAAGTTAGGCATAACAATTTGTTTCTTCATAAATGTTTCTGCAAATACACAAGTCTACATGTTTCTTCACAGACACTTGTCAACAAGAAGGTACTTAAAAAGTGTCAATTACATCATCGCCCATTCCAAGGGCTCATTAATGGGGTGATCCGAGCACGTACTTTTTCAAGATACGCCTAAAAATGAGACCGTAGTCATAAAAATGGTATTTTCGTCATGTTAGAGGCCTTTTTTCGCAATTTCCGTAGGCCGAATGCATTAAAATTTTCAATGATCTCTTATCTAGAAGGGGCTCATTAACCTAAGGTTGTCAGACACATCATCGCCCTTCCATGGGGCTTATTAGTCCTGAGGGGCGTCAGACACATCATTACCCATCCAAGGGGCCCATTAGCCCTAAGGGGCGTGAGACACATCATCGCCCATCCAAGGGGCTCATTAGCCCTAATTGGCATTAGACACATCATCGCCCATCCAAGGGGCTCATAAGAACTAAGGGGCGTGAGACACATCATCGCCAATCCAAGGGGCTCAACTGCTCTAAGGAGCGTCAGAACTATCACCGCCCATCCAAGGGGCTCAATAGCCCTACGGGGTGATGTGAATTATTGATCCGAAAATCAACAATAAACAAGGTATATGTTTAAGTCTAATTCTATACAGGATATCCACCACGAATTAAACAAAAACTAAGATTAATCAATTAAGAATCCACCTAATTAATCAATCCAAACGAATGTTTTAACTAAAACAAGCAAAACAACAATTGATCGCAATCAACAAAAACTCAAGTATGCAACTTAAGAAATAAATCTGAATATTAATCTCTATTATAATTTGTGTGTTTTACAGCCCTATTTATAGACTTAGTTTACCTAGGAAGATTAGGACAAGTTCCTAATTCAATTCTAATTAAACTAGAATTCTAACTTGCTTGAAGAGCAAGCACCTTGGAGCACAAGCACACGCCTAAACTGATTTATTTTGCTAACTAACTGATTTTAAAAGCAACTAAATAAAGATTAAATATCCTAATGCTTGAACCAAGAAAAACCCTTTCAAGTGAAAGGTAAAAACTTGTAAGCAAAAATCTAAGTAAAGAAAGTTCAAGAAAGTGAACTAGACTCCAAGAAAAACCACTAAGCAAACCGTGGCTTTGCTTTGATATCCAAGAAAGTGTCCATGCAATGCTTGGCTTGAATCAATGTTTAGGGACAAGCTATCTTGATGCATGATAAGCAAATCTTCGAAGTTCTCCATGCTTAGACTTGCATCATCATCCTCTTCTTCGAAAGAATTTGTCCTCAAATCTCGAAGTTCTTCATCAGGAATATACTTAGCCAAATCGCCAACATTGAATGTAGCACTAACTCCATATTCTCCCGGAAGTTCTAACTTATAAGCATTGTCATTGATCTTCTCAATAATCTTGAAAGGACCTTCACTTCTAGGCATCAACTTATTCTTGCGTTTTCCTGGAAATCTTTTCTTTCTCAAATGTAACCATACCAAGTCTCCAACATTGTAACTTTGTTGCTTTCTATGCTTGTTTGCTCTAGCTTTGTACATGTCATTTACTTTCTCTATTCTTGTTCGAACTTCAGCATGTAATTTCGCATACTCTTCAACTTAGACTCGGCATCTTTGTGAATTAACTCACCCTTAGGTAATGGAACAAGATCAATTGGAAGTTTTGGATTGACTCCATAGACTACCTCAAAAGGACTATGTTTGGTAGCATATGTAGGTGATCTATTATAAGCAAACTCCTTTTTTTCTTCCGGATTACTTCTATAGGCTGCCTTATTAGGTAATGGTGCTCCCGGAATCAAGTCAATTTGATGCTCTATCCAACGAATAGGAGGTAGTCCCGGAGGTAATTCTTTAGGAAAGACATCCTTGAATTCTTCTAAAACAGATTCCAATTCATACGACCTCTTTGCTTGTTTATCTTGATCAATTCGAATCTCATTAGAAACAAGTATATATACCAAATTGTTGCTGCAAATCTCTTTTTCTAATTCTCTCTCACTAATCAAATAAGAATTCTTCGAATTAGAGGTAACATTAGAAGACTTGTTGCTTATCAAAGGTTTTAAAGCAACCGGTCTCTCTTTTTGTCCTTTTTCTCACAACATACACATTAGTTCTTCCATCAAACTTCACAAATCTATCATATTGCCAAGGACGGCCTAATAGTATATGACAAGCATCCATAGGACAAACATCACACAAAACTTTATCATGAAATTTACCAATTGAAAAGGAGATTAAGGCTTGTTTAGTTACCTTAACATCACTCGAATTATTAAGCCAATGACGCTTATAAGGGCTTGGATGTTCAGTAATTGGCCACGTCAATTTGTCTACCAAAGTAGTAGATACCACATTAGTGCAACTCCCCGTGTCTATGATCATGTCACACAACCTATCTTCTACCTTGCACCTTGTAAGAAAGATTTTCTCCCTTTGATTGTTTTCCATAGGTACGGTTTTAGAGTGTAGTGCCCTTCTTAGAACCAAACTTTGACCATGAGTCTCGGGATCAATTTCGTCAATATGCCCCTCCTCTTCTTCAAAGTTTTCCTCTTCGTTCTTTTCTACATAGTCACTACCTTGCTCACACTTAGCTTGTTCTTGTTCCCACTCTTGAGCAGTCATTACTCTTTTTGATGGACAATTAGTTGCAATGTGACCAACACTACCACACTTGAAGCACTTCCTATCTTCAACAAGCTTTTTAGGAGCTTCAAATTTTGATTTAGTCTCCTTGTAGTTCGAACTAGAACCACTTTTCTCCAAGCTGTTCTTCTCAAAAGGTTTAGTGAAACCTTTTACAAAGGGCTTAGTGTACGTCCCTTTCTTCCCCTTTATCTGTTTTCAACTTTCAAAGCTACCTTGCAAACATCCTCAAAGGACCAATATTGTTGCAATTCCACTTTTTCAGCAGTATTATCATTCAACCCCGAAATAAATCTAGCAATCTTATGCTCAACAATCTCTTCTAAGCCACATAGCATGCATAACTTTTCAAATTCACCAATATAATTCTCAACAGTCATAGAATTTTGTTTAAAAAGTTGCATCTTAAGATAAACATCTTGAATATAATCACTAGGTACGAACCTTTTTTCATGTGCTTCTTAAGTTGTTCCCAAGTTGAGATTCTTGCACGCCCCTCTTTATGCCTCTTCTTCTTTAGATTATCATACCAAAGACTAGCATAACCGGTCAGTTTTAATTCTGCCACTTTGCATCTTTTCCTTTCATCATACTCCTTGTAATCAAAGAGTGTCTCGGCCCTTCTAATCCACTCAAAGTATTTTTCAGGTTCATTCATACTCCCATTGAATTCGGGAAGATCTAATCTAAGGTTCCTATCATCATCCTTTGGTCTATCACTTCTCCTAGGCCTTGGTGATTCATCACTTGAGGAATAATTATTTCGTGGCCTCCTTGGGTTCCTCCTTGGTTGTTCTTCCTCACTTGAACCAGAATTAGGGTTAGAATTCCCTTTCCTTGAAGAATCTCCAGCACGAGTATCAAGCCTTTTTATTATCTCATCCATCCTTGCTGCCAACTCGTCAATTCGCCTATCTCTTCTAAGATTTTGAGCCTGTTCTAAGGTTAATCCCCTTGGAACCTGTGGAACCTCCTCGTCACTCATGATTCCTACACAAACCAAGTCAGTTCATGCAAAAATCTTGATTAAAAGATCGAATCTTGAAGGAAAACTAGGCAACACAAAAACCGGACTCCCAACCGCAAATCAGTGCACAAACACCAAACGTTTGAGACTGTATAGAGCGCGTTACTCAATTAAAAATTATGAAATTTTATATGGTGATATCACGACGTTTTCAGAGTTCAATGAAAAAAGAATCACGTAAAAATTCCCAGCCAATTATTCCAAGTTTAATTTTTTCCGAAACTGCGTAGCCTGGCTCTGATACAAAAGATGACGTGAATTATTGATCCGAAAATCAACAAAACACAAGGGATATGTTTAAGTCTAATTCTATACAGGAAATCCACCAAGAAATAAACAAAAACTAAGATTAATCAATTAAGAATCCACCTAATTAATCAATCCAAACGAATGTTTTAACTAAAACAAGCAAAACAGCAATTGATCGCAATCAACAAAAACTCAAGTATGCAACTTAAGAAATAAATCTGAATATTAATCTCTATTATAATTTGTGTGTTTTACAGCCCTATTTATAGACTTAGTTTACCTAGGAAGATTAGGACAAGTTCCTAATTCAATCCTAATTAAACTAGAATTCTAACTTGCTTGAAGAGCAAGCACCTTGGAGCACAAGCACACGCCTAAACTGATTTATTTTGCTAACTAACTGATTTTAAAAGCAACTAAATAAAGATTAAAGATCCTAATGCTTGAACCAAGAAAAACCCTTTCAAGTGAAAGGTAAAAACTTGTAAGCAAAAATCTAAGTAAAGAAAGTTCAAGAAAGTGAACTAGACTCCAAGAAAAACCACTAAGCAAACCGTGGCTTTGCTTTGATATCCAAGAAAGTGTCCATGCAATGCTTGGCTTGAATCAATGTTTAGGGACAAGCTATCTTGATGTATGATAAGCAAATCTTTGAAGTTCTCCATGCTTAGACTTGCATCACGGGGAGTGAGTCGCATCATAGCCCATCAAAGGGGCTCATTAGCCCTAAGGGGAGTCAAACATAACAATAAATACAAGTATGCATAAGTTAGGCATAACAAACTAGTACTAAACTACACGCATTAAACAAGCTTAACGTGTGTTTATTGTAACTAAACATGAAAGCTAAAACCTAGCCTAGAATCACGCCTAAGCTAAGCAGATTTTCTTAACTGATTTTAGGCTTTAATCACCCTTAATTAACCTCTTAAAAACTGCTGAAAAGAAGCTTAAAAACAGGCATAAAGAACCAGCAAAAAACGTGGAGTAACCTCCCCTTGATTCATGCCTTTCTTCATGCTAAATGTTTATGATTTGCAATGAAGTTTCTCCTTGCTTCAAGGACGCCTTTTCCTATGCCTAAGGCTGTTCAAAACGTGCCTAGGATGCCCATTAACCCATTAACATTCATAACCAGAATGTAAACAAGTAAACCCTTGGTTAGCAAGAAACGGTCCATGCGCACAAAAAGTATCTAACACTTGATCTTCAAATGACTTAGCAAGAATGATTTCTTTGTGAATTGGACTTGTAGGATGATCATGCTTGATTGGACTAATGGACTCTTCATGATTTGCATCATCCTCCCCTTCTTCGAAAGGAGTTTCCCTCAACTCATCATCTTCTAGATAAGGAGCCAAGTCACCCATGTTGAAAGTTGATGAAACTTCGAATTGCCCTCCAAGGTCCACTTTGTAAGCATTATCATTGATCTTTTCCATGATTTGTAAAGGTCCTTCTGCCCTAGGCATCAATTTGTGTTTCCTTTGTTTAGGAAACCTTTCATTGCGCAAGAATATCCACACAAGATCACCCACTTCGAACTTCTTCATATTTCTCAAGTTTTCGTTAGCTTGCTTCTTGTATGACTCATTTGCCTTTTCTATGTTCTTCCTAACTTCTTTATGGACATCAATCATGAATTCTATATGCTCCTTGGCTGTCCCATGCACGAACTTATCTTTAGGAAGCGAAATGTAATCAATCGGCACATAAGGATTCACACTATACACAACTTCAAAAGGTGAATACTTTGTAGTTTTGCTTGGAGTTCTATTGTAGGCAAACTCTGCATGAGCTAACTTTAAGTCCCAATCTTTACCTCCCTTATTCACTAAGGCACGAAGCAAAGAACCAAGAATTCGGTTCACCACTTCGGTTTGACCATCCGTTTGTGGATGATGGCTTGTTGAGAAAAGTAGCTTAGTACCCACGAGCCTCCACAAGGACTTCCAAAAATGACTCACAAACTTAGTGTCACGATCCGAAACTATGGTTCTAGGCAAACCATGTAATCTAGCCACTTCTTTAAAAAAAAGTTGCGCCACATTGAACGCATCATCCACCTTCTTACAAGCTATGAAATGAGCCATCTTTGAAAACCGATCAACGACCACCATGATAGAATCTTTTCCACGAGCTGTTCTAGGCAAGGCCATTATGAAAACCATACTCAAATCTTCCCAAGGTCTTTCGGGAATGGGAAAAGGCTTATACTCTCCCTTATGAAACGTAATTTTGGCTCTTTGACAAATAGAACACCTAGCCAAAACTTGGTGCACATTAGCTAACATTTTTGGCCAATAAAAATGACTTTGTAAGATTTCTAGGGTCTTTTGTATACCCATATGACCAGCAAGTCCTCCTCCATGAGCTTCCTTGATCAACAACTCTCGAATTGCACCTTTAGGAACACAAAGTTTGTTCCCTTTGAAAAGGAAACCATCTATTATGACAAATGAACCGTGGACTCCATTCTTGCAAGACTCCATGATTTCCTTGAGTTCAAGATCATCTTTGTATGATTCCTTCATGACCTCGAAACCAAGAATTTTAGTTTCCATGATTCCAAGAAGATTATGCCTTCTTGATAATGCATCCGCCACAATATTGGTTTTGCCTTTCTTGTACTTGGTTGCAAAGTTGAAAGATTGTAGGAATTCCACCCACTTAGCATGCCTTGCATTCAACTTCTTTTGCCCATGAATGAACCTTAAAGATTCATGATCCGAATGTAAGATGAAAGGCTGTGGCCTCAAATAATGTGACCAATGATCCAAAGCTCGAACCATGGCATAGAATTCTTTGTCATAAGTGGAGTAATTCAATTTGCCTTGGCTCAATTTCTCACTAAAATACGCAATTGGCTTCTTCTCTTGGATTAGGACAACCCCTATTCCTTTTCCACTTGCATCACACTCAACATCAAATGGTTTCATGAAATCTGGAAGGGCTAGAACCGGCGCTTCACACATCTTCTTTTTCACCAACTCAAACGCCTTTTGAGCCTGTGGAGTCCATTGAAAGCTTCCCTTCTTTGTACATTCGGTGATGGGAGCCATAAGGGTGCTAAAATGTTCAATAAACCTCCTATAGAACGAAGTAAGTCCATGAAATGAACGAACCTCCGTGACTGTTTTTGGAATTGGCCATGAAGAAATGGCTTCCACTTTGCTTGGATCAACTTTAATTCCTTCACCTGAAACAATATAACCAAGGAAAACAATATCTGTTAGCAAAAAATGGCACTTCTCCAACTTCCCATACAATTGTTGCTCTCTCAAGGTTTTGAAAATCTCTTCCAAGTGTTTCAAGTGCTCCTCCTCATTTTTACTATAGATGAGAATGTCATCTAAGTAAACAACTACAAACTTCCCCAAAAATGGCCTCAACATTTCGTTCATAAGTCTCATAAAGGTGCTTGGAGCATTTGTTAATCCAAATGGCATAACAAGCCACTCATACAAACCATGCTTAGTTTTAAAGGTTGTTTTCCATTCATCACCTTCCCTCATTCTAATTTGGTGATATCCACTCCTCAAATCTATCTTGGAAAACACTTGAGCTCCACTCAACTCATCTAACATATCATCAAGTCTAGGAATAGGAAACCTATACTTAATGGTTATGTTATTCACCGCCCTACTATCAATACACATCCTCCATGTTCCATCCTTTTTTGGCACTAACAAAGCTGGAACGGCACAAGGACTCATGGATTCTCTCACGTAACCCATTTGCATCAACTCCTCAATTTGTCTTTGTAATTCCTTAGTTTCCATGGGATTGCATCTATAAGGGGGTTTATTCGGAAGGGGGGCTCCCGGAATCAAATCTATTTGATGTTCTATACCACGAATAGGAGGCAACCCTGGTGGTAATTCATTAGAAAAAACATCTTCATACTCCTTGATCAATGCGGCTAGCCTAGGGTTTTGTTGGACAAAACCTTCGTGTTCCTCTTTAGAAAACAATAAGAACACTTCATCTTCCTTCTCCAAAGAGTTTTCGAATTCTTTTAAGGAAAGCAACAAAATGTCCTTTCTTTTGGGCTCTTTTTGTGGTGGTGGGGATTGTGTTTGGGAAAGGCTTTTTTGTGGTGGTAAGGGGTGCAACACTTTCTTGCTGCCTTGGTGAGTAATGGTGTAGGTGTTTGATAGGCCATCATGTACTGATTTTTTGTCACTTTGCCATGGCCTCCCTAACAAAATGTGACAAGCATCCATGGGAATGACATCACATAAAATTTCATCCACATACGAACCAATCTGAAATTTTACTAGACATTGTTTTCTAACTCCCGTACTCTTGCTCTTATCAAGCCAACTCAACTTGTAAGGAGTAGGATGTCTAGTAGTCTTCAAGTCAAGTTTCTTAACAAGATCACTGGACACAACATTAGCTTCACTGCCACTATCAACAATCAAGTCACACACATCTTCATTAACCTTGCATTTGGTTAAGAAGACATTTTCTCTTTGAATTGGGGTTTTCTCAACCTCCACGTGCATTTGGAGGGCTCTCCTCATTACTAGACTATTTTTTTCGGGAAAACAGTCATCAACTTGCTGCTCCTCCTCATTAGAATCATAAGACTCTAAAGGTACATTTTCACTACCATTTTCGTTCTCCTTCTCTTCTTCAAGGACAAAAGGTTGTGCCATCATATTCTTAAGCTCTCGTATGGTTAAAGCTCTTGCATTAGGACA